CGGAATCGGGAGAAACGTCGACAGCGGTATCGGCGAATATCGAGATCAACGGAATTCGGAGCTTCCGTGCTAGACGAAAAGTCTGGTTGAGAAGTCGTTGATAAATTCTGAGTCGGAGAAGGAGCAATAGTTGTGGAAACCTGAGAAATGCTGGATTCGGAAGCATTCTCGCTCGATGAGATTGCTGAGTTGGATGCGATCGGAGTTGTGGCGAATGAGGAAAGAATTTCGGTTGTGGGAACGAAGTACTCATTTGTAGAACGAGTTGACAATCTAACTGTTGAAGAGATTGTGGTAGTGCGTGTAGTTAAACTAACGGAGGGATAATACTCCGTGGTGACGGTAGTAGATGAAAGCACCGGATTGGTAGTTTTGAAAACAGGACTGCTGGCGGACCAAACGCGGATGCGACCCTGCCGACGCCAACTAGGTGAAGAGGATGCGGTCACAGTGGATAAAGGATGCCAATGATGAGTGGTGCTTCGAACCGGACTGCGTGTTGATGTTGAGACATCCGCAGCGGAATGTTGAATGCCCGATTCACGAGTAACGGATCTTCGAGGATCTGGTGATGCATCCAGCGAGGTATAGCTAGAGTGATGAAATCGCGCTAGAGGAATAATCGATGAATTCGACGTCTGAGATTCCACGGATTTTGAAGTAGTATAAAGCTGAGGAACATCCGTAAAACTCGATGAATAATTCGAAGTGGTATTTGAGACGGAGTCGGAGGATTCACTGGCCACGATGATTCCAATTGCTGTCAAAGGGACCTCAACTAATTGGATGGAAAATTAGGAATGATAAATCCTTGGAAGACTCAGACATACCAGAATATACGGAGACCGCGATTATTAGGAACATCACTAAGAAAACACTCTCGCGCACAGAGAAAACGACCGCGTGGCGCAAGATGAACGAGAGGAGGGAAGAGTCATGACGACACTCCCTTGATAAAGATCGTCAAACTCGAGATCGATAGATTGATACGACATGATTCGACTTGGAGAGAAGTGAACCCTCTGGTGGAACTGAACTGACCGATCGACATCGATTAATTAACCGGAGGTAATGGGAATGGTATAGTGGAGAGATTTGAGTTGATTGTGGTCAGATCGGTATTGGGAGAGAGACGCTGGTGATCTGAGTGACTCCAGAGTGAAGTCTGGAGATCAGAACTAGGAAACATCCTTAAAGGTCTAATCGTCTTTTATTCCTTACTGGGGATCACTCTTGAAACAAGTAAAAAGAGTAAAATTCCCACACTGCGGGACTAAGTACCTAATGTCAACATGCTGGAGGCGACAATCGGCCTCCATCGGAATCGAGCGATCTCCCTGTAGGAGCACACATTGACGCGAGTACTCGGACACGCACCTCCAAAGGGGTCCCTCGCGGAGGCATTTGAACTTGCCAATACTGATGCGCGCGATGGAGCCGGACGGGGTGGCTATGATCGTGGGTACGGGGCAGTCATCATGATCTGTTCGGGAGTGAATGTCGGATAGGAGATTTCGGGCGAACGTACAGACAATAGACAAAAACGATCGTCTGTGAATAGCTTGACAGCACCGACCTAGATGAGCAGAGAGACTTACTAATGTGAATGATCACCAGGATCAGACAGATGAAGGACATCATGCCGGTTAACCACCGCCACTTGCAAACGGCACTGAAATGTGCGCGTATGATTGGTTTCGCTGCTTTGGGTGGTGCTTCGGGATCAAAATGAACAACCTCCGGGGTCCGGCGGGATGTGAACAGAGTAAATAACTCGCTGAGATCCATTTTTGATGGAGTAATGTTTTTGGGATGGATGAAGCCCCTTAAGTAAGCCTCAAAATTGAGAGAGGATTTCGAGGGGAGATGCGAAATTATCGGTCAATCAGAGATATCAGAAGCTCTGACAAATTGTGCGGACATTTGGTCTGAATTGATAGTCGGAAATCCCAAAATCTAATCGCATGCCAGTCTCGATGGATGATGCCGAGACTGAAGCCCACATTCACACACTTCATTGCTTGATTACTAACAGCACTGAGGGATGGCTTGGATAAGGTAATCTTAAGCAAAGCTTGGAGATTGGGAATCAGCACCATGTCTGGAAGGCGACATACCGTTTCTTCTAGCCTCACGCGGAGATGGCTTAGATAGGTGAAACAGAAGTCTAGCTTAGATAAGCTAAGCGAGTCAGCGTCATGTATGAGAAAGCAATGCCCGAACCATAGAAGCGTTCGTGGAGCGGATGAGAATAATGATTTGTAATTAGAGGCAAAAGGGTTGACTCATCAAGCCCCTTGTTTTTCTGTGTAGGGGGGACTTGATGGGATAAAGTAGCTACCCAGAAAAATTCTAATGACCATGAGTTGACTCACGGTGTCCAGACCGGACGCTGGAAC